TTTCAACATACTCAATAGTACAGGGAGTTTGAATGATTGTGATGGTAAGGGTGGAGTCCTTTATCTATCGTAGTGTGATCATATGACTGTAGGTGATTACATCCTAAATGGTGAAGGGAGCTTAAATGACAGGGATAGGGACGTTTCGCAATAATAAGTGATCTGTAAGGGTTAAATTAACGATTACACACTGTAGGGTTGGATTCTACTTTATTATAAAAGAGTCGTATGTAACGTTTTGGGTTTTTCGAAGCAATAAATCATGTATGAAACTGAATTTGAAACATGTAAAAAATATCACCAATAGAAAGTGATCCATGAGTTTCCCGCCTGTTGCTGTCTTTTAGCAAAGGGTGGGTCATTAATTTTTGTGCATGACTTTAAGGGTGGGTCATTGATAATTAAGCCTTATTCCAGGGGTGGGCCAAGGAAAAATATAGAGTTGAAGATTAGATTTCTCCACCCCCCCCCTCCCTATACTTTATGACTGGTCCCTAAAAATGTACTAGGAACAGTACAATACTAATTACGAAATATGGATGAATCATGAATGACTGCAAAAAACTATCCTTGTTTGCCTTCGCCTATACTATAGTCGTGTATGATAATATAAACCCCAATGTAATATTGACTAAGAGAAACACATATGAAACTTTACAACTAACACCATCCATGCAAACCCAATTAAAATAGCAATTGGAATCCTTCCAGCACAGATTAAAATAACATTGTTAAACCTTCTAGAACAAATTTGAAATATCAATACGAAACCATCTAGAACAAATGTGATACGTTTTCAACCTGTTTCCGGTCAACGTGCGCGCGCATTGGTCCAACACGGCCTACCTGGAAACTAATCGACACGGTAAGAGCTCCGTGAAAAATGTTGACTCGACAAAGCTATACCTGCAGGATAACTACTAACCTACATCACATGCATTTGCTTCAAGTTTTGAGCAAATTAACTTTTACTTATACGTCGACATCAATAACAAAATGTTGTTTTAATTTTACTCAAGCTGACAATCATATCGCCTGATTGCCTGACAATCTTACTACTAAGCAACAAGTGATCCTCATAGTAAACGAACTTGTTTTTTGAAGCAACAAGATTTTACCTTGAACGACTGCACTCTTCACTTGATAATTTCCAAGTTTTCCAGTTTTCTTAATTTGATCTCTTACAGTTTCTGCAACCACAATTTTCGTGTTATTCTTATCTTTTCGGTAAACAACCTTAAAATCTACTATAACGGACCCATTCCTACAAAAATGAACGACTGTTAGAAAAGCTATTAAGATCGCAAGCAACAGCTTAAAGATAAAGGCCTCACTGCAACAAGATTTAATATCAGAAATCTGCTAGCTACTACGCCACCCAGAAACCTGAACATTTTCAATGGTGACGTAAAATTTCGACACCACAGTCTATTGTTTCCATCAGGAATATTCTAAAATATCAGTGTTATTCCCTTGTCGGTCCCATCACATTGTTTGGCACATATTTTAACGATATAGTTAACTATATGTGGTTTAATAATAGTTTTGTTTGTGGAAACACCACATAAATTTATTACTGACTGCAGAGCTTTCGATTCGTATACGTAAGCCCGGGTCTTCATCAGTGCTAATAATATGTGACTTGTTTAATTCACACGCCCTTTTTATATACAAAAGTGTCGTGATCTGTTGGCTCGCGTAACTTGAAATTAATAATTAATTAATTAATTAAAATTATTGGCGTGCGTTAATTTGAATCACTTCACTACGTTTGAAATGACCTGGTTGTTTAAATTTCAAATGACGCGAGCCAACAGATCACGACGCTTTTGCATATAAAAAGGGCATGTAAATTAAACAAGTCACATATTATTAGCACTGATGAAGATCCGGGGCTTACGGATCGTAAGCTTTGCAGTAATAAATTTACGTGGTGTTTCTACAAACAAAACTATTATATGTTTTATCGCCATGCAAACATACAAAGAACTTATATCTGGTTTGTTGGATATGTTTTATCTTATAATCAGAGGGATGGCCACAATTGGGAGGCGATCGAGTAGCACCGACCGTTATATCACAGAGTAGAGACATACGGAGACGTAACTAGTGTACCGACTTTTTTTGTGCTCGTGCTCGGCAAGTTACTAGATGCATGCATCTGATTGGATGACGACCTAATGACGACTCATTTTAAACTTGCTGAGCACGCGCAGTTGATCATTTTTCGCCCGGTCGCCTGAAAAAGAGTGGTACATGATAACGTAATCTTCCGCAGTGTTTACGACGTTCAGTTACGTCTCTGTATGTTTCTATTCTGTGGTTATATCGTGAAACTAGGCCTCCTTTTTAAACGGAAACAGTGTTCATGCCCCAAACCTAATAAAACGATTCAGTAAGCGAAAATAGCTGCGCCTAAATCAATTAATTCGGATTCCATTACGTTCCACATGGCACAAAATACGGCAATCCATGGCATATTATTCGATGCAAATTCGACGATCGACGTGTTTAGACGCCGTGATTTTTTGCGCCCAACCTAATGCATAAATTATTTTATCATCATATAATGATGATTTATTAGCAATTTATCACTGGAATTTATGATGTAGTGTATTTTTATTTTGGCACGGTAAATTAAATCTGAAGTTTAAATTGGTCGCCAAACTTTTGCCCTATTGAATTTGATTAGGTTCGGCGCATGAAAAGTTCACCGTCTATACCGGGCCTTCATTTATTTAAAATTACCTGAATCCCAAGACCACTACTTCTTGGAAGTTTAGAATGTCTTTAAATGTTTCATATAGCTTAAAAAAATAACAAAGTGTACCAATAGGAGTAAATCAATTATTATTATCATTATTAAACTTGTCACAATATCTACAAAGACACTGAATAAACGGTAATGCTACAAGACAACACACGTGACTGGAATTATAATTACAGGACTTACGTCCCAATTAATGCCTCACCCCACATGACTATACTGTCTATACATACTGACATAGGCACTTTCTCGGTATGAGAACAAACGAAAGCTTAACACTATTCGGACCTTGATCATTATATAAGTTCTAACTGATTTACGGTTGTTCGTACACCGAGCTAGTGAGTGGACTTTACTGAATTAAATTCTTAGTACTTATATTACAAACATTTTCTTCACAAAACTAAATATTAGTTACGATTATTAGGAAGTTTGTATGTTTTTGACTTGATACTATAGAAGTTATTTAAACGAGTCTTCAACGAACACAAACAACTGGATTTCTTAATTTCGGTTGGTAGGCTGTTCCAAAGTTTTGCGCGCTGATCTGATAAAGTAAGAGTTTTGAAAGTATACCTGATTATGTTTTATAATGAGGTGGAAGTTACTTTCATCATAGTTGCGAGATTGATATATTAGCTAGCCAGCGTTGTAAGTGCATAAATGTTTGTTTATATCCATTGTTATGAGGTGGTGTTTTGATTTGAACAGCAGTATCAGATCAGAAATGTCTCTTCGGAAGTCCAGTGGTGGAAGGTTTGTTTTCTGTAACCTATCCACGTACGACATGTTTTCAGGATAATTCAAGATGAATTTTGTGGCCCGCCGTTGAACATTCTCAATGAGCAAAGGATGCTTAATGGTGTAAGGCGACCACACGCTGCTCGCATATTCTAGCTTGGGTCTCACCAGCGCACAATACAGAATTATTCTTGTGTTGGTATTCTTCACTTCTTTGCAAATCCTTTTGATGAGACCAAGTGTTTTGTTAGCCTTAGAAACAATGCTTTCTATGTGTTTCAACCAGGATAGGTTGTTGGATATGAGCACACCAAGATCCTTGATGGTCGACACTTGTTCGAGTATGTTCTCATTGATTGAATACTCGCGTAGGCGCTCTTTTTCTTGAGATGTGCATCGTCGTACATTTTGTTGCGTTTAGTTCCATTTGATTATCAGCAGTCCAGTTTGTTATTTTGGAAAGATCAATTTGAAGTAAGGTAGAAGATGTGGGAAACAAAAGTGGTCGGTAGAATTTTGAATCGTCCTCAAATAACGCAAGTGTGGAATTATTTTCAATGTAGGTTGGAATGTTGTTACAGTAAACAATGAATAGGAAAGGTCCAAGTATGGAACCTTGTGGCACACCTGATGTTACGGGAAGCCGTTCAGAGCAAACACCGTGAAGAACAACTCTTTGCTGCTTGTCTGTGAGGTAGCTTTGGAACCAAGATAATAGAGATCCCCTGATTCCCAAAGTCTCAAGCTTTCGCAAAAGAAGATTGATGCCTTTGAAAAGTCCAGGTATATGGCATCAACTTCATTCCCACTTGCGACTGATTCCAGAATGTCATGGTATACTTCAAGTAGCAGTGTGGTTGTGGATTTTCCTCGCATGAAACCATGCTGCATTTGATAAATGTGTGGCTCGAGATGCTGGTAAGAATGATTGTGAACGCAACGTCCTAGTACTTTCGACAAAGTGCAAAGTAGTGAGATTGGCCTATAGTTCATTGCCAGCGTTGGGTCTTCGCGTTTGAATACGGGTGTAATGTTCGCCATTTTCCGTTTAAGAGGTTAGTAACTACAGCAAGATCCAATGACATGTTAAGTATTTTACGTAACGAAGGTGCAATAACGTCCGAAAGTTCGATCAGCAATCTGTTCGGAATGTTATCTGGACCGCACGCCTTTCGTGAATTTAGATTGCGAAGAACTCCAACAACATCAATTTCCGAGAGTTGGATACTGGAAAGCTCGGGCATTGATGATGGTGAGGGTAAGGTAGATTTATTAAATGATTCCGAGCTCTTAGGGTTGAAGACAGAATGAAAGAAGATATTTAAAGTATTTGCCATCTCAAATTTGTCCGTTGTAAATGAGTCTTCAGTTTTCAGGAAATTGATATTCGTTCGGTTTTCCGTTGAGTGTTTTACAGCCGCCCAAAATCATCGGGGATTCTCATACAAGGACTCTGTAAGCTTGATGTTGTGTCGTATTTTTTCCTATTAATCATTTGCTTCGTTAAACGCCTTAAGTTTTTGTATTTCGTTAGGTTAGCTGGGCTTGGAAATTTTTTAATCTTTCTTCTTTGTATCTTTTTCTTCTTAATTTGCCTGAGTAGTTCCTTATCTATCCACGGGTGGTCATGCACTCTCTTGATGCAATATTTTGGTATGTGTTTATCAACGACTGAAAGGAACATGTCACACCAGTTCGAAAGTGTCTCATCAATATTACCGGGAACAAAACATAAATCCCAACGAGTGTTTGCAGGTGATACTTTAAGATTGGTCCAATCAGATTTTGCAAAATCGTAAACGAGACGCTCGACTCTTAGTTTACTTTGTATTTTCAAGTTGATTTCAATGCTTATGAGTTTATGATCTGTAGTTAAGATGTCATCAAACCCTGTCACATTCTGAATTTTGTTCGGTATATTAGTAAGAATTACATCAAGTGTGTTCTCACCTCGGGTAGGAAAGTCAACCAACTGCCACAAATAATGATCTTTCACTGTTTTCGTAAAGTGTTGATAAATGATATTGTTGTTAGTCGCTACTCCAGTAATCCAGTCAATGCTTGGTAAGTTAAAGTCACCGCAAACTATAATTTGATCAAACTTACTACGTCTTTGAATAAGCTGAAGAGATTTTTTGAATTCCTTAATGCACCTTAAATCCAAGTCTCGTGGTCTGTAGAAAACAATCACTGCTAACTTTTTCTTCGACTCAGGATGAAGTTCGCATACCAACATTTCAGCACTGCTTTTCGAGGTCTTGTCGTCTCATGCTCTGACTGTTCTCACGCACAGCTAGTAAACACCGCCACCAGTTCTGTCAGTCATGTCTCGCCGATGGATGTTAAAATCGTTGCCAGGAAGAATTTCGTTATCCAGGTTCTTCGGGTTTATGCCAGGTTTCTGTCATCGCTAAGAGGTCAATATCAATTGCCAGTGTCTGAAGTTCATTGGTTTTATTTATCAAACTTCTCGCATTGAGGTAAAGACATTGAATATTGTAACCATTACAAGGTTGCGGAGAGCCAGGATTTGTTGCAATATCACCAGCTAGTAAGATCAACATGAACGTATGACTCGTAATCTTTGCGATTTGGAAACAAAGACCGTATCGATAGCTATCATCTGGTAAGTTAAATTTGCTCGACTTTTTATCTTGAGTTGTAAACCAAATCGAGCACAGTCTGCTGGGCAAATTTACCAGTTCTGGACTTATAACTAATGTGGATCCTGAGTCCATGAGATTGCGTGATGATTGTTTGACACTTAGAAACAACAAACAGAGAATGGCGAGAATAGATAAAGGTTTTTTAATCGTCGAATGTTTTCTTTGCGTAGTTTCTGCATGATATCCATGTACATAATTGCTAGATTATGACTCTTTATTTGTTCAGTTGAATAAATGTTCCAGAAAAATTAATTACATATATTTTTTCAAATTCATTAATTTTTAATTAATTAATTTAATTATTTTTTTTCATATATTTTTTCATTTCAAATTAATCACATATATTTTTTTGTGTTGCACATGTGTATTATTTACTGTTTCAATGCAACATATAATACTAATTTCACATGTGAAATAAATTTTGCATAACAACCAGAGCAATCATATGTCAAATAACTTGCCAAAGTTTTATGATTGCTTTCCGCAACAAATGTGATCATGCAGTGTTTGTGGCTCGTTCTAAATCGAAGAATTATAGCTGAGTCACAGAACTTGAAATGTAGATTATCAAACAAATATAATATATAATATGTAATATAATATAATCTTATACCTCAAATTCAAATTGTCCAATCAGGAAGCTTAGTTTGTGCCACGTGAGCATGAAATTAATCGCGATATCACGCCTTACGCGATCAATTAGCGAGCCTGCGTTCCTTTTGACAATGTTCCACCCCATGTTCCCCGGGGAACATATGGTGGAACATTATTCGCGTAGACCGCGCGAGACAACACGCATGACAAAAACATGGCCGACAAAATATAAATAGTATTGAAGAGTGATGAATAATCAAATTTTAAACGTAAAACCTGGTGCTTTTTCAAAATTTTGAAGCAAACTTTGAAAAATGTTGTCATTAATATTCCAAACGATATGTGACTCGAAAGAAAAGTGACGAAACTTGCGTTAATTCGAAAATAAAACATCGTATTCACGAAGGCGAAGGTATATGTGTCAAGTTTTTAATTCTCGACTTGGAGGCTTTTAATTTTCGGTATAATATATCATTTATAGACCTGGAGCGAGGGGGACTCGGGGAAATATTACCCGAAGTGATGATATTTCCCGAGGGGCAAAGCCCCTCGGGAAATATCATCACTTCGGGTAATATTTCCCCGAATCCCGCTCGCTCCAGGTCTATAAATGATAAACATATATATATATATATATATATATATATATATATATATATATATATATATATATATATATATATATATATATATATATATATATACGAGTAGGTCAACGCAATGATTCTTTACTTTTAATCTAACTATAGAGGCAACCATCAGTCTTAGTTAAAAGTTTATTCTAGCGAAGCTCCGGAATCTGTTGTTTATTTTTAATAAAGGGCGACTTTTTAACAATATTCTATTCCTATAATTACCTCTGCCGTCATACTTCTTTCCAATTCTTGATAAACTGGCGAAGACTTGTTTTTTAGCTCTTCAGTAAACTCTTTCTCCAAAGCTACTTCATCTTTTATCACGATAAATTCTGAAATAAAAAATCCAATTGGCAATTTACATAACAATATTATTAGAAACATAAATAATGTCCATCTCCTTCTTTCATGACTACGTAAATGACAATGTTTTTGTTATGCAAGACGAAATTAAAATTACTGAAAAAATTGGCTAAGGGACTGCTCATTATTTATTATACAGGGGGAAACTGAGGAGAAACTCTACAGTTATAATATTTTTCCGTTGCCCCCTCTTAAAACAAGAAAAATTTTCAAAGCTCCCCCCAACAGGCAAAACAAGAACATAAATTTTGGTCCCCTGAGAATTGTTGCACCTCTCCTGAAAGGACATGCAGCTCCCCTTGGGAATTAGTTTCAATGAAGGAACAAAGTAAAAATGTGATGGTTGCTTAGGATCTACAATTTGTGATATAAGAAGGTTTTCTCTGTGAAATTGAAACAATGACACCCATTCATCTCTGTGTCAAGTACCTTTTAATGCAATGTTTTGAAAGAAACTTTGTAGCAATTGTAATGATTAGGGCAAGACTGGAGTCATACATTCATAAATTAATTCATTAATACACTGGTACATATGTGCACTTCATGCTTGCCTCACCTCGTTGATATTGGCCTGTTCTACAATAATCCCTAACTTTCCATGGGCGTTGTGAGCTAGACCGTTGCACTAGCCCGGGTGGCAGGCCCTCGATTTTGAGGGCCTGCCATGCAGGCTACCGCTGCACATCCCCTAGACTTTTTCTCCACCTCCCCCACTATATTCACCAAAATTCAGGCTTGATTTGCATCTATTTGCCTAGTTCTAAAATTAGTCTATAATGAGAATTGTCTATTTACACGAACATCAGAGACTTTTTATTTGGCTTCCATTTATGAATATTAAAGGTCTATTAAAATTGTTATTTGTTGTTAAGTTGTTTTCTGATACATTTTTAAAACTTACTACAAATGTTTTTTCAAACTGGTAAATCTTTTCAAAGTCCCCCTTCTTTCGTCTCTCCGTATTTTTTCAAAGCCTCCCCCTTTCAGGTTTTAAAATAATTGAAGACCCCCCAGTTTCTCGTCAATCCCCCCTGTACAATAATGAAGGGTCCCTAATTAAAATTAATTTAACAGTCACGATAATCAAGTGACCGTGCTTAACATCATGTGCAGAGTGTTAAATAATGCCTGTCAAGAAAAACAGAAACAAGTAATCCAATACAGATCAATCATAACGGCTTATTGAGCGAGCGTAAGGGGTCTGCACTGTGAAACATCAGACCGAGGTTTTTTTGTATGGACCGAGCGACGAAGAAACGAAACCATGGGTTATGCATGCCGAAAAAAGATCTGATATTTCCCTGTACAGATCGTGTAAGCTAGGTCAATAATCGGTTTATTATATCGCTGAACTGAGACTGTGATTTTCACGCGAATTAGTAAGGCAGGCAAGCATGCTCATTCAAAAACAATTTGGTAGTTTGAAATTTTTATCTGTTAATAATAATAAGTGGAGGTCTTAGGTCTGAATCTCTCAAATGACCTCCAGTGGAACGTCCATATTGGTGAAATAATTAGAAAAGCTAATAAGCGTATGTACTTCTTAATTTTACTAAAACGTTCTAGTGTACCAATTGCGGACATCCGAAATTTTTTCTGTACATGTATTAGACCTCTGTTGGAATACTGCTCGCAGGTTTTCCACCATTCCCTCCCGAAATATTTGTGTGATGACTTGGAAAACGTTCAAAAGAGAGCGCTGGCTATCATTTCCCCGAATCAGTCATATGAACATAACCTGCAGAAGTTTAATTTAACTACTTTAAAAGATGGACGTATGAAGTTATGTGACAAGTTATTCTCGTCCGTCAAGAGTTCGGAATCTCATAAGTTACACAATCTTCTACCTCCTTTGCAAGAGGAAAACTATGACATTAGAAAGAAGCGAGTCTTCAATATTCCAATAATACGCACTGATCGCTTTAAATTAAGCGGACCTTTATTCCTTCGATGTGCAAGTCTTAAAACAATTTGACCTATGTATTTAACAATTTTCTTGAACTGTCTTATATCTAAACTTAGCATCTAATGTAATTTTAAATTCGTGTTATAATAGCTTGTAAATAGATTACACAATTCAGCTTTTATGAGCTGCAATGTAAACTTTTTAATTAATCTATCTATCTATCTATCTATCTATCTATCTATCTATCTATCTATCTATCTATCTATCTATCTATCTATCTATCTATCTATCTATCTATCTATCTATCTATCTATCTATCTATCTATCTATCTATCTATCTATCTATCTATCTATCTACAATTGGAAAATTAAAAAGCTTTTCTTTCCTGTTTGCAAAGCAAAAATTTCGATTCCCGCCATGCAAACGATATCCAGGACACCGGTCCAGATACGGAGAATACGGACCACGGTACAGATATGGGTTTTTACGGAGCGCTCGTCAACCAATCAGAATAGAGAATTTTGAAAAGCCATTTAATTGATTATCAGGCCTTTTATCAGGCGACACATCTTATGCAGGTTATAGCTACAATATACACAATTAATTTCAACTTTATCTCGCGACTGTATGATCCATACGGTTAATTATACATGCAGCATTTACAGCACTGTATTTCTCTTTTAAATAACCAGAAAGATACTGTAACCTTTTTAATGATTTTAACCACAATATACTGTACCTTTACAGCTCACTCCGTCATAAAAATATCCGTCATTACAAGGACATGATATTGTGTCAGTCATCAATTGTTTACATGTTGAATTTCCAGGACATTGTTGAGATTCACATGTTCCTGTGAGAGGTGAAAATATTTAGCCAATGTTGGTTTAAATTCATCATGCATGCATATTATATAGAACATTTCTTTTATATTTTGTTACCCTTTTTGCGCCCGCGGTCTTTTAGACCGCGGAGTGTATTGCACTCGAACTATGTTTGGGACAGGCGGGAGATGTTTGATTAAAACGTCACGAATGATGGAACACATAACAATTAAGCCGCGTATGTGCGTTCATATTGCAAAAAGCCGTGACATTTTTTATTTCGCTGATTTCGTTTGCTAACTTTGCTTTTTGGTTTTCGTCGACATTTACGGTAAGTTAATGTTCTTGTATATTCTTATCAATATGTATGTACTATGTAGATTTTGTGAATACAGACCTTGGTTTGAATTGTATTTACTCGAGGTGTTAATGCGTTGATAGACAATACACTGTTGTGTGTAAATTACTCTACTTTTCAATTTTTATTACAACATTAATTATTAAAGGTGAATTTCTTCCACAAGCCTGCAATATATGTATATTTAAGTATCTTATTTATATTAAAATTCGCACAGTACTAGAATTCGCGCAGCGCTGGGTGCACGAATTTTAGTACTGCGTGAAATATACTGAATTCGCGCTAAAAGCTTTGTGAGACACTCATTGTTACTACACCCGTTAGCATACACCTCGACGGGTATTACCCATATGTTCTCAATTGAGAATATTCGGTATTACCCGTGCCAGACTATCGCCTGCGCTACCTGAAGCTGACGCTTTCGCATATCATTATATATAAACCAATCACAATCGTGTTTCTATAACACGTTCTTCTCGAGCTTTGAGCTGCCATATTTGAAAACATTACTAGCAGATTTTATAGTCTATTTGCGATTCTGTGGAATGAAATGGAGATGGGAAAGAGAACTAGAATAAGCGACAACCAGAGAGATATTTTGGAAAGGTTTTACGGCCGTTGAATGGTCGGTGTTGGTCTAAATTATCGCGAAATGATCGAAAGCGCAGTAGCAGAACTGGCTTAACAACGACTCAAGTTATAAAGGTAAATATAGATATCATAGTGATGTTAATGTTGACTATTTACTATTAAAACCACTACATGACATACAAAAATATACTAATATAAACTAGTATCAGGCCTTGCAGTCCAGTATGGAATGTAAGTGTTGCGCACCGGACATGTCCGGTGCACAACACCTTTCATTGGTGCACAATCTGGTGCACAAAATTTTACAATAGTAATCTGTTATGCACATCTGGTGCACACATAACAAGTTAAGAAAGGGTGGCGCAATGGTGCATATTTCAGGATTCAGAATATTAATTCGTCAAATAGATTTAACAGCAAAAGTTAGTAAAACTTATTTCTGGAAAGTATCGGGAATGTGTATTGGACAGTATATTCCCTTTTGATCTATGGACCCAGGATCCAATATAACGTAAACTAATTGAAGTACGCTTATACATACTGCTGACCACTAGAAACTTTGAGTTGAAAAATATTTCGAAGGCTTTACTTTACGAGAAAAACTGACATTCCAAGGAAAAATTGACTTTTTGGATTTTATAATGTTGTTTTCTTACCATCAGAATTGTGTAAAATCTTCCGCCAAAATCTTCATCAAAAATGGGAATGGGATTGAGGTAATGCGAGTCGATTCCCAAATTTTCTTCGTTTTGAGTATTTTGAAATACAATTTGATCAGTTTTTGGTGTCTTTGGTCATGATTTTTGTTGTTAAGATATTATTCACAGCACTACCTGCGCACAGGCATACTCTAGCGCCCGGAATTCTGAGTTTTCTGATTATGCGTGTCTCCCCCACCCCCCCCTTCAGGACCCTCATTTCAAGGCCCTAGGCACGAGGTTGCATCTCGCGTCTTTGGAGATCGTCTCGTGCCTTTGGCAATCGGCACGAGATTTAAGGAAGTGAAAAATTCGGTGGTGCACAAATTTTTGGCTGGTTAGACAAACCAATGGTGCACACAAAAAATGATCAACTTCCTTGTCCGGTGCACGAAAAAGTTACATTCCATACTGGGCCTTGCTTGGATGAAAACCAAGATACTTGATCAATAGTGCAGCTACTGTGCATTCAAGGCACTATTTTCTATGCAACTACTTATTAAGCAAGAGTCTACTTCGTATATTGTTACTACATGCCTAGTTGACAATCTACAGGCCAAAAGAATGAACTTTGTCATAAACTTACTGTAACATGCATGTTTCCTCATTGAAAAGTGACATTGTCTGACGTTAGACAAGTAAAAAAAGGTAGGGGCACTGGGGCGCATTAAGTCTCAATGGGTTTAATAACTAGAGACATTGTCAGATTTTTTGGTTAACCCCCTTAAAGTGTAGAACTTCCCCATTGGCATTAGACAAGCAAAAATGTAGGGTGCACTGGGACGCATTGCGGCTTAATGAGTTAATAGGCATGCACACACGATCAAGCGCCTTTCTAGGCTAGACCTGTAGGGGTGCAACAGAAACCTTTTTTTTAAGTTCCGGCTGGAACTGGATCTGGCTGGAACTGGAAGAAAGTTCCAGCTGGAACTGAGTCATATGTTACTTTGTCTGCTGCCAGACAGTCAGACACTTTCAGTCATGAAACAGAGAGCATGCAAATTTGCGTTAGAATAAAAAGATTGACTATTGTTAAAGAACATAATGAAGTGTAAATATCCATGTGTTTGAGTCAAAATAGTATAAACAATCGAGTCATTTTATAGTCAATTGAAACCATTGTTTTACCTTAAATGAATTGAAAGCTCAAACCTAGCTTATATATAAAAAATATCCGACTGGATATTCTGGCCGGATAGCAAAAAGCTCTACCCGGTTCAGTGGTTTACCCTAGGCTTACTAACATTGTCTTGGCGAAGCAATAAAATGCAAATATTCAGCCATGAAATATACCCATGTGATGATTCATCAGTTTTGTATTCTGCTCTTTTATGCTAAATATCTAATAACAAAGTGATAAAGTAAGAGTAAGAGCAAAAAAAAATAAATTACTCTGCATTGATATTATGTGCTTCAGGAAATATATCTTCAAAAATGATAGAACTCTGGCTAGGGCTTCTGTGCAACTAACACTATTAAAACCACATCATGTTGCATGTTTTATTTCTTTAAGAAGGTCTCTGATCGGGCTTTTTTGTCGCCACCATGACAATGCACGTCAATGCTTTTTGTTTTGCTAAACCGTGTTTTCTTGTACATAAATATATAGAATCATTGTTAAAAAGATTCAATAAAGGTTGAGCAATTGTTCACAGGCACGGATTTTCTGGGGGGAGGGGTGCGGGAGGGGGGATGCCGCCGCAAATTACATCGATACCCCCGCAAATTACATCTATTTTGATATGATAGTTTCATATTTGATTATTCTTACTACTAAATTTGTAAAATTACCAATATTATGGTCTCAGATCTCGCCATGCAGGCCTACCAAACAAATTTTGTTAAACTTTTTCCTTGGCTTTTCCCCCGAACGAAAATATGAAAATCCGTCTCTGATTGTTCATGTAACTCGTAAAAGGGTCAAGATTGTGCCATATGGGGGAGGGGAGGGGGGAATTTGGCATGTTGCACGTACTTGTCAAATCGTCGAAATGAGCTTGGTGACCTCAACTTTTTTGTCTGTTTTTATTATGAGGATATCATAAACTTCACCCTCTAATGGTAATCTAGGCATGTCTGATCGTAACTGATTTAGCAACCCCTATCAAACACTGATGTACGCATGTCATGTCATTGATCTAACACCCTCCAATCATGATCAGACATGCCTAGATTACCATTGGCAGGTTGTTAGACAACGATATGGCATACATAGGACTACAATAACATTTTCGATAATACGTCATGAATACATTCTTGGTCTGGGAGTCTTGCTCTCGTCAATCAAGACGGAAGACGATTGGCTCCCGATTCATGAGAATGAAGCTCCCAGGCCAATAACGTACTCGTGATGTAATTTTCTAAAAGATGTATTAGTGGATGTTAGTGTATTGATGAAAACGTAGACCAGTGGTAGAGAGTATTTAAGTAACGAAAGCTTTTTGTCATTGATATGAAATACCAAAATCAGCATAAATTAAAGAGTTTTGGATTAATAGATCATGGATATGACATACCTAAATCAATGTTAAAGAATGTTAGATCATATATTAAATGCCTAGACAAATCTCAAAGTTTGCTAGATCACTATTACTATTAGGTCCTTCCAAAGTTTGACCTTTAGAAAATAGAGAATAAGCGACTACAATAAAACGTATTTTGCACAATTTTTAACAGTGTATAGGAAAATCTATTTACATTACTACTCCAAATTAGCTACTTAACTAAGCATTTCAAGAGCTTTTTCAATGGCCTATTTCCTAGTGGAAGGTTGCACCTTGACTGGCCTAAGGTTTCAGTCAGTGTGAAATACATGGGACCATGCATTATACGAATAATGTTTTTCCCCAGTAAAGTCACTTGTTTGGAATGCAGGACTTTGTAACCTTCAGTTAGTAGGACTAAGGTCCAACCAGTAATCTTTGTAAGTGGTCCTTTTGCTGTATTTAAGTTGGCTTAGTGATAGATAGTATAACCAAAACCTTTCTTCTGCTTCAGTATAAACGGGCAAGATTAAAGGTTTTTCCTCCTGGCTGTGCTTCATGTTTTTGCCAACTGCCATGATTTGAGGTCATCTGATGAACTCTTGAACACTTGCTTCTCATCTGCACCTGTGAGCTTCCATGCTGCAGAAGCCAACTGGTTTTTCACACTCCACATCAAATCTTTGCACTCATCTAAAGGACATTATAAAAATAAGATTCAAGGTGATTCATCAATATTGTTCTGGGAATGAGAATTTACGGAAACTTTCCAGGGGTGAAGTTTATGATATCCTCAGAATAAAAACAGACAAAAAAGTTGAGGTCACCAAGCTCATTTCGACGATTTGACAAGTACGTGCAACATGCCAAATTCCCCCCTCCCCTCCCCCATATGGCACAATCTTGACCCTTTTACGAGTTACATGAACAATCAGAGACGGATTTTCATATTTTCGTTTGGGGGAAAAACCAAGGAAAAAGTTTAACAAAATTTGTTTTGTAGGCCTGCATGGCGAGATCTGAGACCATAATATTGGTAATTTTACAAATTTAGTAGTAGGAATAATTAAATATGAAACTATCATATCAAAATTGATGTAATTTGTGGGGGTGCCAAATGCCTTTTTGGGGGGTGGAGGTGCAAATAATTTCGGGGGGGTGCGCATCCCCCCTCCCGCACCCCTCCCCCCAGAAAATCCGTGCCTGTGAACAATTGCTCAACCTTTATTGAATCTTTTTAACAAGGATCCTATATATTTATGTACAAGAAAACACGGTTTAGCAAAACAAAAAGCATTGACGTGCATCTTCATGGTGGCGACAAAAAAGCATGATCAGAGACCTTCTTAAAGAAATAAAACATGCAACATGATGTGGTTTTAATAGTGTTAGTTGCACACAAGCCCTAGACAGAGTTCTATCATTTTTGAAGATATATTTCCTGAAGCACATAATATCAATGCAGAGTAATTTTTTTTTGCTCTTACTCTTACTTTATTACTTTGTTATTAGATATGTAGCATAAAAGAGCAGAATACAAAACTGATGAATCATCACATGGGTATATTTCATGGCTGAATATTTGCATTTTATTGCTTCGCCAAGACAATGTTAGTGAGCCTAGGGTAAACCACTGAACCGGGTAGAGCTTTTTGCTATCCGGCCAGAATATCCAGTCGGATATTTTTTTATATATAAGCTATGTTTGAGCTTTCAATTCATTTAAGGTAAAACAATGGTTTCAATTGACTATAAAATGACTCGATTGTTTATACTATTTTGACTCAAACACATGGATATTTACACTTCATTATGTTCTTTAACAACAGTCAATCTTTTTATTCTAACATAAATTTGCATGCTCTCTGTTTCATGACTGAAAGTGTCTGACTGTCTGGCAGCAGACAAAGTAACATATGACCATATGACTCAGTTCCAGCTGGAACTTTCTTCCAGTTCCGGCCAGATCCAGTTCCAGCCGGAACTTAAAAAAATGGTTTCTGGTGCACCCCTACAGTATAGCCTAGGAAGGCGCTTGATCGTGTGTGCGTGCCTATTAACCTTGTCTAATAATGCCAATGGGGAAGCTCTGCACTTTAAGGGGTTAACCAAAAAATCTGACAATGTCTCTAGTTATTATGCACCTATCAATGTTAACCCCCAAAGGGGGCGGGGTTCGGGCAGATGTGGGGTATTTGATTATCAATTCCATCCCCACCCTGGGGATTTTGATTAGCATTTTGGCCCCGAGTTGGGGCAATTTGAACCGAATGACTGTTATTAACATAGTAATTATTGCAATTTATTGCAAGATGGTGGGGCATTTGACCAATATTTATTGCCCGACGGTGGGGCATTTGATTGGAAATTTGCTCAAAAAATCAAATGCCCCACCTATACCCGATCCCCCCCCCCTCTGGGGCTTAACATTGATAGGTGCATTAAACCCATTGAGACGTAATGTGCCCCAGTGCCCCTACTTTTTTTTACTTGTCTAACGCCAGACAATTTCACTCATCAATGGGGAAACATGCATGTTACAGTAAGTTCGGACTGTCAACTAGGCATGTAATAACAATATACGAAGTAGACTCTCGCTTAAGTAGTTAAGTAGGTGCATAGAAAATAGTGCCTTGAATGCACAGTAGCTGCACTATTGATCAAGTATCTTGGTTTTCATCCAAGCAAGGCCTGATACTAGTTTATATTAGTATATTTTTGTATGTCATCTAGTGTCTTTAATAGTAAATAGTCAACATTA